CAAGCTGGGCCAATCTCATAGTTAATGGAAATTAACCGGAGATCATTTGCGAAATTTTTTACAATTTAATATTGAACAAATAAAGAAGTTGTGGAGTTCAGTAGATTCACTTTTGTGTGAAAACTGGAATAGTAGTAATTGCTGAAGAGAAGGGATAAAGTACCCTTTACTAACTCTTTAATATTTACAGAGCGTCAACTCGAAGCTAACAAAATACGCCTCTGCCTGGGGGATAACTAAAATCAGATAACGAAACTAAAAGTTTAAAGATATGAACAAGTGGATAGAACTAAACTACAGGGCTCAGCTAGATCCCGTTTCTTAAACCCTCGTCTAAACTAGTGACAGCAAGTAAAAGCAATTAAGCCATGGGAACCAGCAATAAACAAACAGCAGAGGTGGCGGCTGTAACCTAACTCTCCTCCTTCTTACTGAAACTCGGTTTTTAAACTCTTTCTTCAAAGTGGAATTTGCGTTCCTTCACGCCCGCTACAAAATTTAAATATTCTGGCACTGACAATCAGGAGAATGAAGGCTTATAGGAAAGAATAACAAATTGGATAAAATAGGTTATTTAAAATAAATATAAATCCCTAAAAAGTTCAGCGTAATAACTACCACAAATAAGTAAAGATTTATAGCTGACTGCAGTTTTATTTGGCCTCAATCTAACTATATTAAAGGCTTGCTTTTACAGTGGTGGAATGCAGTAGTTGTAGTGCTTGATATGGAAGTTATAGTGCTTGGTTATTAAAGGCGTAAGTTGATAAACTTATTTCGAATCTTGCCTCTATTCTTTCGACTAAGCAGTGAACCTTCCAAAAAGCAATGCTACTTCAACTGCGTTCTTCACACTTACGGTAACTGGAACCGTAACTGTGAAGAACGGTTCCAGTTCACCAGTTACATTAACACTTTGACAAAATTGAACTAAGCTTCAACAAAACTGCAGTAAGCATAATTTTTTGTTCTTATGTGCTAATTATTAAATTGAACTATCATTTGTTTACTATCCGGAGATAGATAAAAGTTCCATATAACGATGTTGGTAGAGTACCTGTCTGAGGAAACAGGTCCTGGTTTTGATCACCAACTGGGATAGGTCTTTAAAATGGGTCGAAAATATATATAAAATTTCTTTTCTACTCATTTCTTTCGAAGTTTTCCCTTTTTTTACCCACTTTTCTAATATTTTATAGCAATGTTTCTCAAATTATTTGTCAAGGTATACAGACCATGAGGCATTTTATTTTGGAACAGGTGACTCAAAAAGTGTAGGATCTGTCATCGAAACTCGAAATTCCGACCGATGCTAGCTGGACGTGCTTTCCAATTACACCACGAAGGCACACGGTAGGGAGAAAGAAAATACCATACAAAGGGAAGTTTCAAAGATCTGTTTTTGCTTTGTTTAGCAATATTTTTATGAGCATATATTTAAAATAATTTGTAAAGTCATTAGACTATATCCATGTAGGAAACATGACAAGTGTGCAATGCCCTATGCCGGGATTCCAACGCCGAACTTCCCGGTTACGCTTCGGCCGTGCTTCTAGTTATACCATGAAGGCATGCAGTAAGGAGGGAGAAAATACCTTATTTTCATTAATTTATATCATTAAGTTAACGTTTATTAATATTTACGCGCATTTACTTATTATTATTCGTTATTACATAACATTCTATTAAAATTCTTAATCTTTTTTTTTTTTCATAACTACATTATGGTGTCGTCCTTCGAATTTTTTCCTTAAATTTTAATTTTTATTATGCAATAGACTAGCAGAAATTTTTAGCTTTAAGGAGTGAAGATTCTTGAAATCCTTTTAATATTTTCCTGTTTATTAAATTTTTGTTGCTTCACCTCGGTAAAGTTTAGTTGTGAAATCAGATGAAAGGAATTGCTTATACGTGAAATAAATAACTCTCAAAATATTCTTACGCCTTACATCTACAGCACATAAATTAATGCAATTTTAGCAAAATGCAAAAATGTGTCCTTTTAAAGTTTTTTAGAGAAAAAGTAGTATATGTATTAGGCTTTTAAGAAACCAAAACGCCCCTTCCACGCAGAAAATTGAGATAAACTTAGAGTTTATTGTAATTATCGAGAAATTAATGAAGCACCTAACATGATTGATCTGTCTGCATCCATTGCTCTCTGAGTCTCCTTTTGTATTGATTCTCGTTCAACAAACACTTTTGAAGAAACTTTAGTTACTTGAATAGATTATGGGTTGTTTAGAAATTGCAGCAAAGTGGAAAAGGGAATTTAAGTAATGTGTAACTTCTGTTTTGAGTATCTTTTTGTTACCGTAATGTAAATGTTAGAAAATTACCCTGCATCTTGTTTGCTGAAGGAAACTGTAAAATACTTTAAGTTAATTACAAAGATTTACTTAGTTTACTGCACACTCTGTTACTAAACAGTTTATTTTGTCTGATAATTCAATTTACTATTCCAGCTTTAAGCAAGATGAAGTTTGCTCATTATATTTTTAATTGGAAAAAAAATGTTTGGATTCACTGTAGTTCAAGCTATTCAATCTAATTATTTATACTGATTGTTACGTAATCTAATTAGTGAACTACTAATACAAATAACTGTTCTAGTAAGATGAATTAACCTGAATATGAAACTTAGTTTACGGTAGCGTTTTGTAAAATCATTCTACATAAAACTCTTTTCCTAAATTAGCCATAATGTTCACTTCATTAATGATGTAATTATTATTTTAGCCTTCTAGTATCCTTCTTCGATTCTTTGTAAAGAAGCTTTCATACTGAAAGGACTACAAGAAATTTAACATATGTTAAGCTTCATTGTAGAGCATTGCTATGAACAGAATAGGTAAGACAGATAGATGTAACTGGGATAGTACGTATCTTGAAGGATACCCAGTGTTTTTATCACAACATATTCTGGAACTAGCCGCTTACATCATGTAGACGCCAAGCAGCCTAGTGCTTCATGCTTGAGAATATTTCACTCACATTATAAGGTATTTCTCCCGCCTTCTTAGCATACCTTCGTAGTGTAGTGGTCAGCACGCTCGGCGCGTATTCGAGAGGCCGGTGATTCGAGTCCCGGAGAAGGCTTTGCTCATTTTTCATCACTCCTGCTTTAAAAATAACTTAATGACTCTACAACATAAGTACAGCTGATGTAGTCAACTCAACAATGATGTCCACTTTCAGTTGCTAAATTATACATAGTTCCGAGTACTTGAGACCTTAGTAGATATAATCTGCTCAAATAACACAATTTCTGAAGAGGTTGGTTACAACTACCATTAAATTTTGAAAGTATGTCAGGTCGTCCCGTCGTCCATTACATGCTGTAATTGCATGCTATCCAAATGATTGCAAGATGAGTCGGTGATGTCACCGTACACACCTGTGTTCACCCATCTTTCGGAAAAAATATGTTAGATCACAAAGACAGCCAGATTTCACCTCCATAGGCATCTTCTTGTAACATCTTACCATTAAACTCCTTTCAGTTCAAGTGAAAAATAACATTATAAGGTATTTCTCTCGCCTTCTTAGCATGCCTTCGTGGTGTAGTGGTCAGAACGCTCAGCGCGTATTCGAAAGGTCAGTGGTTCGATTTCCGGCGAGGGCACTGCTCATTTCTTCGACTTTCTGACATCGAAATTAACCTAATAAATTTACAGCGGAGCCCGAACTTAAAAAAAAAAAAAAAAAAAAAAAAAAAGAGGTGGTGGTAGATGATTCTCCACACTCAGGATTTCTCGATTGGGTCCCCTAAAACCCCAGTCGCCCTTTAAAAGTGGCAGTATATAAGGTATTTCTCCCGCCTTCTTAGCGTGCCTTCGTTGTGTGGTGGTCTGCACGCTGGACACGTATTCCAGAGGTCCGTGATTTGATTCCCGGCGAAGGCGTTGCTCATTTTTCACTTCTTCTGCTTCCAGAAAAGTACCTAATGACTCCTCATCTCTAAAAATGGCGATGTCAGTCATTTCCGCTGACTGAGATATTTGCAGACGTAAAGTGCTTAATTGCCAGGTATCTGCAAGAAGGATCACACCAGTATCTGCTGTGCCACAATGACGTGGATATATTTCAAGCAATTTATTGGCACAGTCATGTATGTCTACCTAGTATATTATATTTTCAGTAAACGATAATATCGGATTCGAACTAAGAAAACGTTCTGTATATTTACGCACTTAATTTTTTTTCGTCGACTTCTACTTTAGACAGGTCTAACTATTCTTCGTTTGCAATAAATTAAATTAATTACAAAAAAAATTAAATAAATTGGTTGCGAAGAAACAACAGAACAAATTTTCATCTGCAACATGTAACTAGATTATATAAAGAGATGAAGATAGTAAAAAACTATTATTACTTCGCATTTTTTTTTGGGGGGGGAGGATTTTTTTTTTTTTTTTTTTTTTCCATTATATTTAACCCTTGATACTGACCCCGAATTATTTGCTTCTGTAGGAGACCTGTAATAATCATTCAATACGCGTTATAAGTAAAGACAGCAAAAATTTCATTCCAGGAAAGACAACACCGTTGTATGCTCTACATTCTGTTCCTTATAGAAAATCAAAACTAACCTAAAGAAATCAAGTTGTTAAAACTACAGTGCTATTTTGGATCGCGAACACATTATTTCAAGAATAATTAGGTTCACGATCAATTATCCGAACAAAAACGTCTCGGATGACGAATGGTGTTCTCGAGTTATGAACAGTTTACTCAGCAGCATATGATTTTCAAAGGTGCTTTCAGGTAACCGATGCCACGTAATTAACACTCAGGGCTTTTGCAGAAACCATTTAATATTTTCATTGTTTAACTCTTATTAACAAAGCTTGGCAGCAAGTCGTTCAAAGAACCATTGTTTGGACCTAAAAGAATTTCAAGCTTAACTGAGTTTGCGGGCAGAGATTTTGAACATTTTTACATTTAGGACTTTTTTTTTTTTTTTTGTTTGCTTCTTATATATGATATTGTATTTCTAGGCAAAATCATGGGCTAGGAAGTTGATCACAATGATCACAAGAGTGAGCTCAGCAAGAAAGAATTACAACTTCCGAAGCAACTTCGGAAGCAACAACAATTACAGCCTCCGAAGCAATTACAAAAGACGATGTGGAAGAAATGCCCTCAGTAGAAGAAGAAGAATGAAAAATAATTTTAGGTCCGTGATCCATGAAATTTGTGCAAAGGGGGTGAGATGCAGACTTTTCATGTAACGATATCACCCTGATCAAGCAGTAGCAAGCTACAACATACTAAACATTTTTACTAATAATGCGATGCCTCACTTTAGAAACATTTTAAAACTTAAGCAACCACGCTGAACAAATTAAGAGTAAAACAGAAACCTAGTGAGACTAAAGCAGAGTGGCGCTTAGAGATAAAGAAAAGATGAAAGAAATCATGTTTTTATTGGAAGGCCCCGATTTCGCATCCAAACAGCATCATCCTTATCATTTTCCACGTACATCATCTTCTTCCTGAGTTTTCATAACACAGGTACTGTGACATTAAATTATGTTTTCTATTGTTTTTTCTGTTTAGTATTGTGTTTATCTTTTTTTTTTTTTTTTTAATATTTAATGATTTCCATTAATTTTTGGTTACGAACTTGTGCACAATGTAAGATTGTAAAGTTTGAATATGCAACCATCTGAGGTCTAGGAACGAATTAATCCATTTTACATTAATTTCTATGGAAAAAATTGTTGCGGTTTACGAACATTTCAGTCGACAGACGACCTTTAGTACCGAATTAAATTCGTGAACCAAGATTTCACTGCATTTAGTTAACAACTTTCTGTCAAGCATTGAGTTTCTAAATTGTGCTAAGTTAAAAATATTATGTTTTCTAAGCAATTTGAGTTTAACCACTTGCGATATGAATGAAAGAAATGTTAGTGAACTGTAGAAGAGTTAGAGACTGGAGGTCTGAAATTATTCTATTCGTGAAACTGGCTTACACTTTCTCTCAAAATTAAAATGAAATACGCATCTAGAAAAAAGGTAGAGGTGAAACACATGCACAGAGTTTGGTAAAATGGATGAAACTTAGATAAACTTAATTTTCATTAGATGAAATTTTAATTTGAAAGAGAAGATATAATGTGTATCATCACAGCTGTACGCAATCACATGGTCTTTAAAGTGTTAGTTTCATCACAGTAGCGTATAATTCCTATGGCTCAAATGAAACAAACTTCAGTGCAAATAAGTATTACATATTATTATGACAGGTTCTTCAAGGAGTAATATATGATTTAAATTTTCACCCAACAAAGCATTGAAAATCTAACTTTCTCGAAAACCATAATCTTCGTATGTGCAGTATTTGTATGTATGATATTCGTTCTAGGGATATTCGTATGTATTCGTACGTGCGATAAATCATTCAAAAGACTGCGAAGAATTTTCCATGCAACTACTCTTGGCAAATAGCATATTCCTTCTGTTTCGAAGGAAATTTAATTTCAATTTCATTTATTTAGCCTGGAGATAAAATTCAGACACACAAGATCAGGTCAATGTTTAAAGCATTATTACAGTATCGGGTCTCAGATATTCGGAAACATCTAGTCACTTAATTAGTTTTTGCGGTGGTTTTAAAACATATCGGGAAAGCGCTACATATAATTCTCATGCAATAATTACGACTCTCATAGAATTTGAAGTCTGTTTGGATGTAGGAGAGTTCAGGAGCTGTATTTCTTTTGGATTAATGAAAAATCTTTTATTCATATTTCTGTTTTTTAAGTAAAACTAAGAGTACAAATTAGAAAATAAAATAAATAAGTACATAGACTTTGTATAATACTCATGCTTTGATCTGCAAGATAACGAAAGAAATTCAAAAAGCGGAAACTGGGAAGTTGAAAGTCAAATGAAGGCTCCAGAACTGTCTGATATTTTTATACAAGCATGACCACTGCGAAGATTTTATTTCCTTTGAAATCAACGGGAACAACTGAGTTATTAACCCTCAAACTACCCGAGGCATATTATATTTCTCTAATTTCTTCATTTTTCATAACATGTTTGGGGATACTTAAATTTTCGGAATCTATCACCTTATCCAGAATGCAATCAAATTTATACTTATTATTCTTAAAACAGTATTTAAAGTTGTCAACCCAAATAGAAATTTTTTAAATCTATTTAATATCTCCTTGATTAAACGCAAATTAAAAAAAAATTATTTAATTTGTTTCCCCTTTAGTATTTGGAACTTGTGCTCCAAATACTACAGTCTTTTCATGCTAATCATATTTCTAACAGATCCTATTGATATTCCCCTTCTCATGTTCATTCACATAATAACAGTGTGAATAAGACGAATATCAATAGTGCTTATAGAAAGGATCCTGAAAACATAAAAAATAGAAAAGAAAAATTTCCTTCAGGTGTTTATTTGGGGGAGGGTATGAAGGGGGTATTGGTTTACATTTGTTAAAGAAGGTAAATAGCGTTTGTGATCAAGCTGAGTTCCCAAAATATATAATTTTTAAGCAATTTAGATATAAATTCGACACAGTTTCATATTTTGTTATCAGAAACATAGTTCTAAACTTCATTGTATGAAGAAAATAAATAACTTATTTTTGTTTTAATGGAGTTAATAGTTTATTAATAATACGTGAAGCAGTTTTAATCATACAGCGAACTCTCTAAAAGTGTTGAATTCCAAAAAAATTTTCATAACAGGTCGGTCGTATAAAGTTAATGCATGAAATAAATAATGTGCAAATATTTTCGGGTATATTTACTTCCAGAAACAGGAATAAATACTTGTATAAGTAGTAATGCAGGAAATGCTACGGAAGTGAAAACAATTCTTCTTAAAAAGCGAAAGAATTTTCCATATAGAAATTTTATCTAAAAAATATATAAATTGTATTTAAATTTTCTTCTCTTCCTCGAGTATTTTAAACCAAACATGACTGTCTAATTGCGTACGAAACAATATTAATTAGGACATTTTTGTCATGCCAAACAATACCGTTTAAACTGCAGTCGAAATCAATAATAACATGCATTATTTCTATTTTTCTTCGAGTGAATTAACGTTCATGCCAGTCTTGAAAAGACAAAATTTACTGCCATTCGCTTTTAGAAATGCAAATTTGAAAAAAAGAAGAAGAAAAAAAAAAAAAAGACTTTTCAAATCTGCTTTTCTAAAAGGGAATGGACAGTTAAATTTGTGTGAAAAACTGTGCAATAAATTTAGCATATTTGCAGTTAAAATTATGTAAATCTCATAATTACACTTTAACAAAAAGTGGTGAATCGTCAGAATACCCACCTTTTCCTGCTACTCTATTTCCTGAATTTATTTTTTCATCAAAGATAATACAAACGCACTCTTTCTTCCACTAAGGAATTACAGTACAACTTATTAAGTTTTGCCCAAAATCTTGGATGGTGAACGAAAAGATAGAGAATTTACGTACCTTCTCCGAAATATTTGCAAAATGCTTAAAAAAGCATATTTATTCTCCGTGTTTAACTGAGATTTGTAGTTCTCTTTGTATGAGATAGCTAGTTTTCTGTAAGCTTCCGTATGTACCTTGACGAAACTCAAGAACAAGATCATTTAATTCATTTGCCCTTAGGACTTTACGGGAACGTTATCAGCAAACCGCAGACATTGCTTATTATTTAGATGGAGTGGAAAGAATCAACAGTAATTCATTGGGGAAAAGGAAATTGTCTCTGAAAAAAGTAAAAAACTAGAGGTGATTTACACTTATCTCCATATTGCTCCTAGGAATTTAAGTGTATACAAAGCAGATTCTTGGAGCAAGCGATCTTCGAAAACTGATAAGAGAGTACCTCTCAAAGATAAAGAAAAAGAGAAGAATGAAAGTCGGGCATCTCCTTGCAAAAGAAGGGGGGGATTCACCTGAAAAGTCAGTAAAAAAAGTATCAGAAAGAGGAGGAGAGGAAAAAAATGCCAACAATATCGCCAAGAATGCGTTTTGTAAACGAAATACTGTAATTAAATGCCCTTTCATTGGTAAGTACGAATTAATATTTCTTTTTTAAATGAATGAAATAACTATCCTAATGAATTAATATTCCTTTTGGTATGTTGTTTATTTAATCGATTATGGCAAACCATGCGAGTGTTGTTTGCCTCAATGGAAGACTTTCTAAAAGAAACTGCCTCGTATTCACGTTGCACATGAGGAAAGTCCTCCAAACCCCGAAAGCTAACCCATTTGTCAAGAATAAATAAATAAAACCTCGGTCAAACCAAATTCAGTAGTGAAGCAAGGTTAGCAAATTCTTTCCAACGTCGGCATCACTTGCTTACGGAAGCGGGAGAAACGAAAACACAAAGGAAGTAGGGAAAAAGTTACTTTTGAGCGGACTAGGCGAAACTGGCGTCATGCAAGAGGTCCTTGTGACCTTTGATCAAACTACCAGTGTTCAACAGACTTCGCTCAGCCGCTGAGGGTTCCACTTTCTTTTCTACTTTTACCTAATTTTAATATACTACACATACTTTATAAGTCAAGCCAATCGACCATATATTTTAAATACACTCATTTCCAAAAGTTAAGCACGGAGAGGAAAATGCTAATTTCCGGAAGCCAATCAGAATTGAAGAGGATGCAATTCGCTGCAGAGGTAGAAAACTTTTTTAAAGTGAAAAAAATGAAAGGAAAAATCCAAAATTGTGAAAAAAAATTACTTTTGTAAAACTAAATATGGAAAAATTAATTTGTGAAATGAAAAAAACAAAATTTACTTTTGCAAAAGCAAATAAATGTGGAATGTAAAAGTAATAAATTTAATTTAATAAAAAATAAGAAGAAAAGAGAAAACGATGAAAAAAAATATGCTTGCAAAACAAAAAGAAAAATTACAAATGTCGGACAATCTTACGATTAAAACAGCAAAGAATGAATTTATAAAAAAATGTGTCTTATACAATTCAAAAAACAAGCACGTTGATTGACTGAAATAGAATAAAAAAAAAAGCTCTTAACGAAAAACGGATTTCTCCTTATAAATTCATTATTTGTCATGCACAAAAAGATATGAAACATCGAACAAGCTCGAAACTGTATAGAGAATCTATTTGCTCGCTGAAGTTTCCTCCCAGGCAGTGACATTATGGTTATTTTTCTAATCAGCACGATAAGTTATTTTTATCTTAGAGACTATTGGCTTTGTTTTTCGAATACGTGCAATTCGTAATGAAGAAAGTTTCTAATTATTTCTTCAAGCTTACAAACTTTATCAAAATGGAAGCACCATGAGGTGCTGTAACTGAAAGTTGTGATAAGAAATAATGAAGTTTAATTGTTGTTTGCATAAAACATATATATTTTTACTGCATGCATCAATTAAAAATTTAACGAATAAAGCAAAGATAACGGATTAAGTTTCAGTAAGTTTTAGAGACATTAGGTTATTTCGAAGCAGAAGAGATGAAAAATGAGCAATGCCCTCGCCAGGACTCGAACCACGGACCTTTCGAATACGCGCTGAGC